GCCTACAAAGGCCAATAAGACATAAAGCTGCTTTCTAAACCAGACAGAATAGAACTATGGTTAAATCTTTCTCTGTGTAAACCCAGATGCGACAAAATGAATGGGAACCCATCTCCCTATTCTGAAATGCACTCAATAACTAAAAGAGGCCATTTTCAGTCCAATGGATTATCTCCTAAAAACAACACAATAGCAAATTATCTTTAAAAAGGTTCAAATACTTAGCTCTAATCTAATCTTTAAGGATGATCAGGGCAAGAGCTCTTGCCTTCTGTCTTTCTGTCCCTTGTCATACTATTTTTCCCTTCTCTCTCCCTTCATATGCATGTTTTGTGCTCAGTTCCTGTACTGTATTGACACTTAAACATTTACTGTTAACTAAAGTAAATCAAGGACAACTTTACAATTGTTTTGATCACTAAATATTGAACCCCTGTATCTCAGCAAACATCTCCTTGCTTTGAATTTACCAAGAAATCAAAATTTTGACATAGGCAAGTGCTAGCCATTGTATCTAGATTCTTAAAGACACTTCAATAATCACTGAAATATTATGACATGGTTACATGACAAAAACAACATAAATGATCAATTCTAGTTTGTTGTTGACTATATTTGCATCTTATTAACAGAAAATAATGCATTGACACTACTAAACTTTGCTGTTAGAAATAAATAATCCTTTAAGAATGAAAAAATATATATAATCAGGTTTCTGGTGTAAATTAATATAAAAATAATCTGAAATAGAAAATACATTGATTAATAATCACTTGATTAATTTAGATGTGCAATTCTTTCTAAGTTTTTCACTTTTAATGCCCTTAACAGAAGGGTTAATTTAAGATTATAATTATTGAGACTTTAACGAATCCTGGAGACTATTATCTGTTCTCAGGCTGTTCTGTGTATGCAAGAAATACACAGTACACCTAAAATTATTTTATAAGACAATCAAAAGTTTTCTTTACTAGTCCTTGGACAAAATATTTAAGTTTAGCTACAAATTTTAAATGCATTCCTTCATCTGTGAGAGTTTTTCTTTTTCTTTGATATATATTATTTTTCAATTTTTATTATCCATAATCCTGGGTGGACACAGTAATATAGATTGTAAATGCTGAAAAACATTTATTATTTTATTAATGCCCCTCTTATACGGTACATAATATTTTTTCAATTACCCTGTTGGATTTCACGATCTGTTGTGTACATTTACTTTGTATTATTCTCTATCTCTCAATGGTTTTATTTCCGCAGAACTGGAGTGGCTACAATATCTATCTGGAATGCAATGGAGAGATTACTGTTTTAAGTCCAAGTGTCATAGAATAGTAGTGTCACTGAGTAGTCTCTATGCGACCTCCACTGTGAAGATCAACGGTTTTAAACAGCAGCAGTATCTTCCATGCAGATCTTTTTCCCCCATTTGTAATATAAAGTGTAAGTGTAATGTGATAATCATTTGAAGCATTTTTGCAGCACAAAGAACACACCTTTATTAATAAAGTAATGTTTATAAACTGACAGGAGCAGATAAGTAATAATAAAGATGTGACATATTCTGTAAAATAAAAAAAATGACATATGCTATCATAAAATGTTCAAATAAAGAACTGGTAAACTTAAAAGATTATGAATTTACAATAATTCAAAAACATTTCAACAATTGTAATGACATTTTAATTTTCTCATATTTTTAATTATATGTTTCCTTTGATAATTCCATACAATATTGATATTTAAAAACAAATAGTACATACTGTACCATACACACGACTAAAAGTGTTAAATTAATGCAAACAGACTTCTGTGCTTTAATTATACAGTAATCATATTAATGTGTAAAAATGGATTCTACAATAACATTATTAAAGAAAAGATAAGTATTTTAAGGTAGTATGGTCTGCAGTTATTATTAATGGCATTTTCTGGCATGCTACCAATGACATCCAGTGTTCAGATTAGTTATTTTTATTTCAAACATTCTTCATTTAAATATATTGTAGATATTGTGAAGCATAATAATAATAGGCCTTTAAAAAGGGCTTTACAGGTAATGAGGACTTCCCTCCACCATCACCAATGTGCAGCATTTACCTGAGTGATGCTACAGCAGCCATATGCTAACCACACATCAGCTATCAGTGGGGAGGAGAACAGAGTGAGGAAGCAAATTCATTGATCGGGATTATTAGGAGTCCATGATGGGTAAAGGCCAATGGGAAATTTGGGCAGTACACCGGGATGACACCCCTACTCTTTTTGAGAAACGCCCTAGGATTTTTAATGACCACAGAGAGCCAGGACCTTGGTTTAATGTATCATCCAAAGGATGGTGCCTTTTTATAGTATAGTGTCCCCGTCACTTTACTGGGGCATTAGGATTCACATAGACCACAGGGTGAGCCCCTACTGCTGGCCCCACTAACACCTCTTCCAGCAGCAACCTTAGCTTTTCCAGAAGGTGTTCCATCCAGGTACTGACCAGGTTCACACCTGTTTAGCTTCAGTGAGTTGCCAGTTGAGAGTTCTTAACAAGACAATGAAAAAACATGAGATGTACTAGCTTTAAATTGCCCTTTTGTAGGGTGGTTCTGGGGTGACTAAGACAGGGCAGAAAATGCTAGGAGTTGGGCCCTGACATGTTTTACCCTGAGATGTCCTTGTGTAAGCTATTGGTTGCTTTAAGATAAGTGAAATTTCAAAAGTTAACTATGGTAAATAAACAATATTATTTGTTTAGCTTTTCAGCTTGTAGGTATCTTAACATCTGTAACAGGGTCATTATTCATATAACTGTTAAAATTATAAAAAGGTTTTGTAAAGCTTTTTTTCCCAGTGGAGTTCATTAGGAATCTCATGTTCTCACCTTTTGAGAATGTTTTCTTGAACATGTTGATCTACTGTTTAAACAGAATTTAAAGAATATGAGGTGTTAACTAACTTTAGAGAAGATTTAAACCATTTGTTGTTTGTTAATAAGAAGTTGTTTTAAGATAATAGTAGTACCAGAATATAACTGCACATGCATATAAATTCATGTATGTGATTTAGAGCATGATGTGACATTTACCACTATACAGTATGTTTTGTTTGCAATAAAACACTACATGAATATTTAAAAAAAGCAGATACTTGGGAATTAACACCGAGTCACCATCGTGAATAATATGTATCATTTCTTCAGCAAAAACAAACAAACATGACTATGTAAGACTGAAAGCATTTTTCTAATGGAACTCTAGCGCCACCCCAGGAAAAAAAAGATTCTAAGCTTCACATACATAAACCCTAATAAACCACAGCAGGAAGAAAGAGAAGAAATATGGTTTCTAGTCAAAGAAAACCTATTCATGCAGAACTTCTTTAAGCTTGAATCTTTTGTGTCTTGCTGATGTACCTTGCTGTGAAATCTGTATTAGAACGAGCCCCCTAATGGTCTAAAGTCTCTATAAAAATAAATGAACTATACTTCCAAAGAATCCTCTGTGCCATGCAGAGACAAAATTGCTTTCTAAATGTGAGATTAGTATTGAAGACAGCCAACTAAACATTGCAATACCATTAGACCAAATTTGAAAGTGTGGTGTCAGAAAACACTTAATTAATGGTTATATTCTTATTAAAAATGTAAACAAATACTGCTAAATAAGCTTGAAATAAAGTAAATTGATGTTTCAAATCAATGTTTCAAGCTATCAACAGAGTAGATAATTGTTTGTATTTCAGTAAATTATTTTTTCTGATCTCTAAGCAAGAGGAAAAGTGAGTGACACTTCCAACATCATTTGAGTTTGGTCTTATAATCAAAAATAAAAAAGACTGTATTGTAAATATTTGTGTGTTGTGTCACAGAAAAGAAATACAATACGTTCTGAAGCACAATAGAAAATTGTGACTGAAAAAAGCTTATGTACATTCTGTGCATTTTTTTCTATTTTTTGTTATATATGTGATTAGAAATTAAATCTGAGTGTTTGCAAGTAACAGGATTGAAAAGATGCTGCAATATAAATTACAAACCAGCAGTCCCAGTTGCAGGTAGCAGCTGGGTAACATAAATAGGTGTGCTTTAGGCATAGTTAACCAACTAGACAAGCTCAAAGTGTTTTATTTTTAAACAGTAACATTAATAGTTAACAGGCTGCCTTTTCAGATAACAACAACAGGGACAACAAAAACTCCATGATGAATAGCTTAGCACATCATTCCTGTTGCAAGGAATGATGTATAAAATCATCTTCTCTCTAAAGTAAAAATTTTGTTTTTGGCTTTTGGACTCCTGGCACTTATAAATGTCATCAACTCTAGAGACAAGGCAGCTGCTGTATTGCTTTCTCATGTATCCACTTCAATAAAATCAATAGAAATGATTTGCACTGAGGAATAACCATATTAGAAGTTTAATATGAAAGTGGGGCATTCAAAAGGGGGGAAAGTCGCATTCAAGGAAGCTATATAATGTACCTGACAGGACTGCAGTGTTCACATCTTAACTCTTAGCAGCTGCATATATTACTGTACCATCTTCCTACACAACATTTTAAACATTTTTTTTAATTATTGTTTAGTGTTTTATTCTTTGTATAAACATAATGCACCAACAGTTAAACAACACTGTTTACATTTTTTATAATTGTTTCATATACATTTAATATGTTTATCATATATGACAGACTTTGTATAGTTATTTTAGGTGCCTGGTTAATGAAGAGTCTGACAACAAAAAATATAATTTACCTACTCACAGATCTATGCAGCATTAACCCCACAATGACAGCTGAAGATTTGAACCTGCACTAATACAAGGCATTTAAAAGCTGTTTTTTGACATATTATGCAGACATAGAAGCAATTCTGTTAATGTATTTTCTCATATGAGAACTTATCTAATGAATCACCTTTTCCTTGATAATGTATCAAATGTAGATCATTGAAACATTAACTATAAGCTTCTTGAAAGTGCACATATATACATATAAATGGTTATTTCCTACCTGTTTAGTTGGAATTGAGGTTTCAACTGCAAGCTCAAAAAGTGTTTCAGGTATGGAGACAGTGAATCTTCAGGAAAGGATGCAGCTGGTAAATTTTACATGTTCATGGGAGCAGGAATTCATGAGCTCCTGTCATGCTGGAGATCCCAGGACTAGAATCATTTTCATACAAATGAAGTCAGTAAATTGTCCATGGAATGAGTTAGAAGGTATCAGTATTATTAGACAGTAACAAGCATATACCAAGCAGCTTTGTCTCCGCGTCTCACTCTTCTCCTGTTTTTTTTCTCTCAGTCTCTCTCTGTTCTGAGCCTAGACTCCTTCTGCTGCTGTATAATCAATCTAGCCTGACTGAAGCTAATAGGCCTCTATTTAACCAGCCAATCAATAGCTAGGATTCCTCAGCTGGCTCCCTAGGGTCTTTTCCAGTATTGATACAAACAATAAGAGTTTTGCCAGCAGTTGAACCAAGCTTTTTATTAAATTATCTGCTTCAAAGATATAACATGTTGGTAAGAAAATGCTGAACCAAACAAAATATCAGTAAGGTCTGATTAGAAAGGGTGAGTACAGTCACTGTACTGTATGTAGTCCAGGTCAGCTGCAGCCTTAGAGATGCATTCAAAATCAATCTCTAAGAATCCACCTCTACATAATTGGTATAACAGGCAGTTGGATACATATAAGCAAATCAGATTTAAGTTTTGTTTATTCAAAGACATTAATTTAATTTCAATTTAATATAACAAAAAATCCTACATTTTGAGAGAAACAATATCAGCGTATTGAAATTACAGTTGGTCTTTCAAACCATCTACACAATAATTTAATTGTTCCTTAATGATTAGTGGTACAGTATATTGTCATTTGACAAAAGAAAATGTGATGATTTATTTAGTTTTTGGAGTGCATCAGTTTCATTGAGGTGGCATGATATACTGTACACCTGGGGTTTTGGACTGAAATACATATCAGTTAGGTTAATCCATTTTACGTATGGATTTTACAGGTGCAATAGGTTTAATTCTTTGTGAGCTGTTTCTGTGATATAACCCTCTGGAGCTTGACAGACTTTGCAAACCCTCGGTTACATGGCTGGTTTTCAGACTCACTGGATTTGTTCTTGTGTGTGTGCTATTGGGACCTTAGTATGATTTCTGACTACTGCCTTTTATCTAATGTGTAATTAGTTATTTGGATCAATTTGAACTTGGCAGCCTAAAATAGCAAATTTCTAGTTATAGTACTTTTAAATGAATGCAAATTTCAGCTTTAGTTATACTATGGTATATTAAACTTTAGCTGGTACTATTTACACTCTCATTTGCAGTTTGAATGAAGGTGTACCCTAACTACCAATATCACAGCAAAATATTCTATATGAATATTTCATATTCTATATGAAAGCACTCTCCTGTCCTGGAAAGAATAGTAGTTGTGGCTCTGACTGATCAGCAGATGAGCTAAGAAGAGATGGTGTTGTATCTGGGATGTGAGTATAAGTCCCACTGAGTGAAAGAGAGAATAAGTTAAAACATATACTCTGCAGTTCTGGAACTAGAATGAGTTTTGAAGCAGTGAAAAATATGAGCACACATTATCCTCTGGTTTAATTTGTGAAGTTCTCCAGAGCAGACAGAAAGAAAACAATAATCCCTAAGGAAATTAAGCAAGACATGGCCAACCTTTAATGAAGAAATAGAGAAACTCAGGGAGCCACGGAGAGTTGGTTGTCCTGTCCTGAATAAACATTTTTCAACACCTAGTGACATAGTGACATAGTGGGATAAAGTTTTTAAGCGCCATACATCCATAAAAATTTTACCTCAGTACATCTAAAACCCCACAGAATAACTTAGGTAGATGGACTAATGGGCTTCCAAAGGGTTGTGACACCCATGTCTATTTTTGAGAGGTGATTTGATTAACTAATACTAATTAATAATCGCTTACATTTATATAGGACTTTCCTGGACACTAAACTCAAAAGGCTTTACAGGTAATGACCCCTTTCCACCACCACCAATGTGCAGCATCCATCTGGATGCAACAGCAGTCATAGTGCACCAGTACACTCACTACACACAAACTATCAGTGAGGAGGAGTACAGAGAGATGAAGCCAATTCATACATGGGATTATTAGGAGGCCAAGATTGGTAAGGGCCAATGGGAAATTTGGGATGCTGGGCTAATTCCCCAACTCTATTCGAGAGACGCCCTGGGATTTTTAATGACCACAGAGAGTCAGAGAGGACCTTGGTTTTACATCTGTCACGCCCTCTGCAGCCAGAGGGCGCTCCTTCTCTGTCCTGTCCCTAGTTTCCGGTCTGCTGTCCTTCCTGTCCCTCTCTTTCCCTTGGGCTATATATTTCCGGGTCTTGCACTCTGTCCTCGCTCAGCATTGACATTCGGATGTCCTGAGACCCGCCTAGCACCAGGGCATAGGTTTCTATACGGCACTCCTGAACTCTTTGCACTATGAGCCCGGGCCTTTTTCCCGTCTCGCCGCTACGCATATGGGTCTTTTTCCGCTCTCCTGCTCCCCACGGTTTGTCCCTTTGGACGTCCGTGACAACATCTCATCCGGAGGACAATGCCTATTTTAGTATAGTGTCCCCGTCACTATATTGGGGCATTAGGACCCATACAGACCTCAGGGTGAGTGCTCCCTGCTGGCCCCACTAATATCACTTCCAGCAGCTACATTTGTAGGCTCATACCTGCTGAACTTCAGTGGGTTGTCAGTTTATCAGGTTGTGAGCTGCAGGTTGATATGGCTGCTGTGACTACTTAAAAAAATAAAACAAACTATGAAAATAAGTATTAGAAATAATGTATTGGTGCTCAATTTTATTATCCTTAACAAATATTATAAGATGTTGTTATGTTTCATCAAGCTTGTAACAATAAATGAGGTAATCCCCTTGAAACCTAGACAGTCGAATTCAGGAGGACCTGGTATTTTGGCTTGGAAGAGATCACTGCTATCTAGGGATTGGCACCATGTATGATTTGAGCCTGCAAGCAGCTGTGATGAAATTCTAGCAGGTACAAAGCAGAAGTGGAACAAATAAATGGTACCATGTCTCATCACAAGCTAATGTCTCTCAGTTGTTGAAAAGGAGAAGAATATAGAGGATAGGGAGAATGTAACTAAGCACAGCATAGCTGCATCTATCATAGTTACATTGATTATATTTCCAATTTTACAAAAGAAATAAACATTTTCTCAAATGTCATTGTCAGATTCTATTTTTACAGGGTATATAGAGACCCACAGCTGAAATGTGGAGGTTAAAGCCTTTTAAAAAATGTGCATACAGTATGTGTGTGAAATCTAAGTAGTATCCCCTGCTAGGATTTGAATTCAATCACTCAAGGACTTCCCTGGTCCTAGCTGAGAGCTGGCCATTTGGCCTGTCTAGCCCATTTGCCTGCTAGAAGCTTTTCATCTTCAGCTTTTCTTTAAGCCACAGAATTTATATGATTTGCTCTTCTCAGGACTGATTGCAGAGTAGAGTACCAATATTTCTGTTAACACAATGACTGTTCTTAATGAGATATAACTAGTAATTTACACAACTGAAAAATACTTACATATCCCAAGATATTTACCATCTCTGATATTGGTAAAAAGAGATAAATCAAGTGCACAAATCACACTTATTACACCAGACTTTAGCTTGCCGATAAAAAATAAGTGGTCCTAGTTCAGATCCCTGTAGTACTCCATTAATTGCAACATACCAATTGGAGCTTTTAACCCTTTCAGTATCTGTACTCTTTTTTTATATTCATTAACCAGTTTTCAATTTTAACATGTGCATTGCATTGGATGTCTTCTGATTGCAATTCAATAGTTAATCTACAATCAATGACTATATGGGTGATTTAGTGTTCAGTATTTGTATTTCAGTGAATCCAGACAAGCAACCCACTCTCATGTACAGTCTATTTTATAATAGATATCTATTTATGTTTAGAAGTAAAATGTGAAATGTTTATTCTTATTTTTTATGGATAAAAAGACTGATTAGTAATTAGTGTGAAATATAAATGGAGAAATGTATCAGTTTTTTCTTACCTTTATGTAAACCTTCAACTGCCAAAATGCCATTAAAGCTTTGCAATCTCTTCAGAAGGACAGACTCTCATGACCCAGAAATTTTGTCAGGCTATATGTAGGGAGAATAATTCTTCCACTAGAGGCAGTTAAAGGCTCTATTTTCTGCAAAAAGATTCATAAGATGTGCATAGTTTATTTAAGCCATTAATTGTAGGAGGGCCAAGAACCACATTTTTTAAATTGTATTTCTTAACTTTATTTCAAAAGTTTTATTTCTCAAAATAGATGTTTCATGTGCATACACATTTAGCAAACTGAAAAGTGTTGTGCATGAAAAAGGCAAATGACATAGAGTACACTATATCTTTTAACTCAATTTCAAATTTTAGTAATTTTATTTGTATGTCAACTGTGATAGTTAAAGAATTACATTCATAAAATTGAGAGTTTGAAATTCAAACCCATTTAAACAGAATCAGTGTCAAAGTACTATGATGAAAGTGGCTATAGTCATATGTAAAGGGTTAGATAAATTTCAGCTTTTTGCTTATCTATTTTATTTCCACCTGTAATTTATTTAGCATGTTTTAGAGAACAAAAAATGTTTTTACACATGTAAAATACATGTAATGTTTTTTCAGATTATTATTATATTATTCTTTATATTGTTCATCTACCATAAAGGTAGTGGTATGTGATTGTCACAAGGGTATAAAATGTCACCTAGACATTACTTGTTGATTCAGTGCACATAGATGTCTACTGAAACACATTTTGCAGCCAAACCCACTTGAGATGAGTAATTGTTATTATTATATTACTATATCTGTAATATGTTGAGGTTATTCTGCTTTATTATTTACAATGTTGTTTATTTGTTACAAATACATTAATATGACACTGCTGCTTCATAGAATTTAATTGTAAACAGATTTTAAATTATTTAAAAATGTTCCTTTTAAACAATGCTTTCAATGCAAAACACTGCTTTGTTAATTTGTTTCCATTGCCTTTTTGTTACAACAATAAGCAACAATAATGGTTTAATTCGAATATGAATATGCACAAGCTCTTAACCAGGTGTGCATTTCTCAGGGTAATTATAACATCAATGCCAGAAACTTCAAAATATCGTGGGGATCATCTGCTTAGGAAGTAATATGTGGTTTACAAATGATATAATGGTTAGAATCTTTACTTTAAGGACAGTAACACTTTAGTTTCTTTTTGATTTAATGGCTAGTATCAACTGACTTATTG